TCTGATCTGGGAAGGCAATTCCATGTTCTCTATGAATGTTCTTATTATCCAGCTCCAATCTAAATTCTCTGAAGCACCGGCCCTTGATGATATCCTGGGGCGGTGAGTCCCAAAGGTTGTGTGCATTTTGTGTGTGTTTTAAAGCATCAGTTCTGATCAGTTTTCTCCATGTTGTCAGTACATGTCAGTTTCATTGGATGCCCCTTTGTCCTTACATTATGAGGCAAGATAAATGGGAAGGCACAAAACTGCAGGTTGGGGGGTACCCCGAGATAGACTAGTCCATTCCACACTTATTCCAGCTGTTGTAGTTGTCCTGGTCACTGATAGGATAGAAGTGCTCACGTTTAGGGCCAGATCCTCAGCTGGTTGTAAACTGATGGAGCTACGCTGATTTACACCCGCTGAGGATGTGGCCTTCCCTTGTCTCCAAGCATGGAGATGGTTTCCACAACCATTTTGTGTCAGATTGTCACCGTACCAAAGTGAAGTTTCAGCCGCTCTCTTCCTGGAGTTTGGTTATTAGCTGCTTGTGAAAGTCAAGTATAAGATGATGGGATTTCTGCTGCCAGACGCCTCTTAATGTTGCACACAAGGTGGTAAATGTTCTGAAATAGTGATTGGGAAAGGTGAGCGTGAAGTCGCGTAACAATTCATTGGGGTTTTTTTTTGTAGAGAGAGAGAGGGAGAGAGAGAGCGCATCTTCCACATGGGGGTTTTCTGTCTTCTATTTTGCACGGTTCACCGGCAAGAGACAACCAAGATTTGCTGCATTGCGCAATCACTAAAACCCATCCTGAAGGAAAGGGAATTGAAAAGTCAACCTGGCTTTCCTCAGCAGCATGAGTTTGCTGTAGGGGACTGGGAGTCAGGACTCCTGGGTTCCATTTCCAGCTCTGCCCCTCTGTATCAGTGCGACCTCGGGAAAGTCACTCAACCTCTCTGTGTCACAGTTGCCCATCTGTAAAGTGGGAGTAATCATGCTTTACACCCCATCTAGCATGCACCGACCTCTGTGGATGAAAAGTAGTGGGGTACTAGGCTGGGACTCAGGAGATCTGGGTTCAGTTCCTGCCTCACCCAGAGTTCCAGTAGGACCTTGGGCACATTGCCTAGGACAGACTTTTTAGAAGGGCTCCTCTCCCACACAGTCACCTAAATAAGCGGCTGAATTTTCAGGAGAGCTCAGCATGTTGGATGCGAGGCACTTGACAAACACAGGAATTGCCTGCCTCTGGAATGACGTCACTTCTGGGGTGGAAAGGACAATAGCAGCTGTGTGCAGTACACAGCTCCGCTGCACAACAGTTTAGGACAGTGAAGTCAAGGAGAATGCTGTATCCAGTGGAGAATTGACTGAGGCCGAATGTAATCATTCAAACTGGAATCTGGCCAGAAGACCAAAGCAAGAAAATCTCAGCTCTCATGGAAAGTACCCTGGGATCAAACTAGTTCAACAAAACAGCCCATGGGCCGGGATCGAAAGAAGCACCCCAGGGATCGCTCTTCATCTCGCCCGTGCACAAAAGATTTAGGGGCAGAGCAGAGATGTCTGGTTCTTTAAGGAAATTAATTGTGACTGGATCCCCTCCCACCATCCCCACTGTGGCTCCTAGCAAACAAATATCTGCTGTGTGAAACAACAGCCGGAGGGACCAGAAAACAGGGAAGAACAAAACCCACCTGCAGAGTGAAATTTATCGAAGCTGCTCATTAAAGCGGGGGGAGCGGGTTGCATGTTTGGGAGGGAAAATCTGAAGCTACGGCAAGAAGATGCTACTGTTGAATCACAGACGTGAACTGACGTTTAAGCCTGTCCAGGATACGTGCGCAGAGCAGGAAGGTGCTGTGGCAGCACAGATAGCAAACAGGGGGAAAAGCATTAACGTCAGCGTGGACCCTCCTCCTGGTCCTATGGAGAATTTCATTTTCATCCAATATTCTGAACGGGCTGAGAGCCCACTGCTGGACTTCTTTCTGCCTTCTCAAGTTGCGAGTCTGGCTTAGACCTAATTCTTTTCCATCGGATACTCCTTGGGACAGAGACTTTGGAGTGCAGGTGTGCTCAGGACCTGGCACAATGGGACCCTGATGGGAGCCTCAAGGTGCTACTGCTACACAAAGTCTACCCAACAGTAATAATAGTCCGATGAGAGCAGAAATGCCCCCACAGCGCCTCCTCTGGGAGTTGCACATAACAGAAACTTTCCAGTGAGGTTCACAGATGTTCATTTTTAGTACGGAGCTGTGGTCTGCAGAGACATCTCCCAGCATACACTGCTCTGCTTCAATCCAAGCAGCCAGCAGAAGATCAGTGTTAGGCATTACACGCTGGACCTGTAGTTTCCATGGGTGGTGTCCCCTCATTAAAGACGGAAGCTGTTGCAGTCTATGACTCAGCTCCTCAACTGGTATAAATTGGCATCACTCCTTTGGCGTCATTAGAACCAGGCTGTTTTACATGAGTAGAGGAATTCCATTAATGCAATTTAAGGGCAGCCCCTTTGGCTGCTAGTAAGTTGCCAGTGCAACCCCGTTGGCTGGACAATCTCTGGACAGCCCTGGTATATGTGGACTTTTCAGGAACTTCCGAGTCTCATGGGTTTGCTGGTTGCTCAGGCCATTATGATATGAGATACCAGGAGAAGGGACTGGGATTCAAATTGGGGCTGTGCGGCTCCAAACTCACAGTGTCCCTTCATCAGGGATCGGAAGTCCGGCATCTCGGGTTCTTGCTCGGTCACTTGTTCAGAGAGTCGAAGGTAAAACTTCCCTAACTCAATCTGTGCTGGACTGAAACGTGCCTGTTATCCATGAACAGCCTGGACAGCTCCAAGAGACCTGAGCAGCAGAGAAGGGAACCGAGCTGCAAAGTTCAAATGCCCAACGCCCCAAAATTCAGGGCCACTCAGCTCCAGGAGTTTTACAAATGGGGGCCATCTGCAAGATCTGGGTCCAGATTTTGGACCTGAGGTTTTGATTTGGGTTCAGCTCCACCAAAGAGGCACAGAATGTCATCAGGTTTGATCAGTGCCTCCCTCTACATGAGGGGACTTATTCCATAGCCAAAAGGTCATAACACATTACTGCCCAGAGTCGGAATGGACCTGTAGAATATCCATCTCAGACGCAGCCCTTGTCTTTTTTATGGGATAGCTCAGTGGTTTGAGCATTGGCCTGCTAAACCCAGGGTTGTGAATTCAACCCTTGAGGGAGCCATTTAGGGATATGGGGCAAAAATCGGTTAGATGGTTTAATTGGGGATTGGTCCTGCTTTGAGCAGGGGGTTGGACTAGATGATCTCCTGAGGTCCCTTCCAACCCTGATATTCTATGTCTCGCTTGCTCTCATCCTCCTGATGTGGTAAAACTCAGGGAGTCTAAATGCATTGGTTACTCTGTCTCCAACACCTCTTCTAATCACTGCTGTAATGATTCTTTTCAGGGGCAATGTCCCTGTGCTTCTAGACTAGACATCACTTCAGATCAAATTCCATAAACTCTCCCTAGCGTGACTGGCTGCATCATATTTCTTTTGAAGTCCATGGGAGCTGTGGATGTTCAGCACCTCTGAAGTTCAGGCCCCTTGTCTCCTCATTTTACACCCCTCCCCCACACACCCTAAAAATATATTGACCGGAGAAGAAGATCGCACAGCAGAATGATTGCACTGTTGGCTGGGAAATTGTCCCTACTCATATATAACCCTTGAAAAATGTGGACCTGCGTGGTCCTCTAGTCCATCCCATAGAGTCAGTGTACTTTGTTCCCGATAGAATGTTCTACAGGGTTTTGTGCAGTCTGGTTTGAAGTGACCCAAGCTATGAGACTCCCAGACAAAAAACTGCACACCTTATTAAATACGGTTTATTGAGATGCCAAGGACTGTATATAAAGGGCCAGTTCCTTAGCTCCCTAGCTACACCCATTTACACTAGCTGAAGTTCTGGCCCAAAATCCAGGCACAGTTGCAGCACTGCCGCGCAGCGAGGGATGGGTACAGATTGCCTTGATGCCTTCAGAGCTACAGCCTGAGCACAATTATTGGCAACTGAATGTCCCTTTTAAAAGGCAAGGATCAGTAGTTCACACTATAAACTAAGAAAGATTAAGTTCATGATCAGCAGCAATCCAGGCCATGACTGGAGAGATGCTCTGACCCACATGGCAGTATATGAAAGCACAACATACAGACTGCAGGAGAGAGATGATTATTTGATAACATCTGGAAGCCATTTATGAAGTATATTCACCGCCTTAGTGATGTGCAGAACTAGTACAGCAGCTAGACTGGTTTTGTAAGAGGGCCCATTGCGTTCACTTAGGCACGCCATAAAATTCAGGAGGCGTTTGCAATATGGGGATTGGACTTCGGCACCGATATACCTTAAAGGACCTAGGCCTGTGTCTCTTTTGAAAATGGGTCTTGGATGCTTTTGAAAATGTTGCCATTGGTCTCATCGCATGAGGCCCCACTGTCAAATAATTAACAAATGGAAGTTATATGGATGTAACCTAACCAGCTGAAGGAGATGTATTGCACTATTGAAACCACTAGTCTCTCCTTTCCAGGGGGAATTTTTAACAGGGAGGGTAAGTAACCATTGGAACAATTTACCAAGTGTCGCGGGGGATTCTCCAGCGCTGGCTATTTTAAAATCAAGACTGGGTGTTTTTCTAAAGGATCTGCTCTAGGAATTATTCTGGGGCAGTTCTCTAGTTTGGGCTATGCAGTGGTCCCTTCTGGCCTCGGAATCTATGCATCCACCCCTTAGGATGGAACATTTTTCAATCCCACTCGGCGAAGAGAACAAACAAACAAACAGCTTCACAGCAACATGAACAAATGCAGTGCCTGGCAACTGAAAGCCAGATAGTCTCAGACCAAAAACTGCAACGTCAAGATAACGTCAAGCGCCGCCTGGGCCGAAGAGCTAAAAATGACACTAAAGGCACTTAAACATGGAGAAGAAAGGATGCCGCAGCACATCTGTGACTCACCAGGACCATGCAGAACTCTGGGGTAGAACTCTGGGCTTCCTGCCGCAGAAGGAAAGCACAGCCTCTACTAATAAATAATAATAGTAATTAATAATGACACTGACCTTCTTTGTAAAGCACTTTGAGATCTACTGTTGCAAAGTGCTAGATAAGAGCTAGATATTAATTGTTATTATTATCACTAGCATTTGAGCTAATGGAGAATCGCCATTAACAGCCTGGGGCCTCGGACACACAGTTGAGCAGTTCTGATTCCATCCAGTAGTGGGCAGTGATGCCCCTCCTCCCTCCCTCCTCTCTCTCTCTCTCTCGCTCTCTCTCTCTCTCCAAAATAGAAACACACCAAAAGCTAGTTCACTGCAGTATCAAAAAGCAGACCCGCAAGTCAAATGAAAACATTATTAAAAGAACCTCCCGACCAAGCTGGCTCCAGGTATAAATATCACAGTAGGCCAAATACTGCCCTTAGTTATACCCATGCAAGTCAGTGTGGTTGCACCAATGTAACTGAGGGCAGGAGTTGGCTTGCTGCCTTGAATAAGCAAGATACAGCTCCAGCTAATTACTGCACCTATCCAAACCTCAAAGGCAGCTGAATACACACTCCTCAGGCTCCTTCCATGGCGCGTTCAGTCTCCAGTTCACTTTGAGGGGCTCTTTATAAAGCAGGGTGGAGCCGGCAGTGCGGTTCAGTGAGGCACTTGAAATCTCTCTCACTCAAACAGTCCCACTGTCCGTAGGCGTTTTGAGATACGCTGCAATCAGCATGAAGCAATTCACAACCATCAAAGGGGAGGAAAACACCCTCCCCACAACGCTCAAGGGCACACAAAAAAAGTTAACAGTGCACACAGAGCTTGCACTCCAGGGGCTAAAACGGGAGGGGAGGGGATTCTCCCTGGCACATGGGCGTTCTCTCTCTTACATCACCTCCCCTTCCTGAAACTGATGCAGGGGACATGGTGGGGCTGGGGCTGGGGTGGGGGAGGCCAGTGGCCAAAGCACACTGTACACCAGCCATCTCCGAGCTGGATTGTTACGAACGGGTGGAGTTTAGAGTGACCCCCAGGTTCCTCTAAACTCCACCAGGCCCATTTCTGGGACGGAACTGGCCAGAGAATCAGACAGCTGTAACTGGTGCTCTGATGCCTTCCACCCTCTACTGTTCTGTGAGGACCCAAGAGCAGTAGAGAATCTGACTCTTACTCCAAAAACAACTTACTTCAGCTGCTCTGTGGTGAACGATTAAACGAAGAGGCAACAACATCTACTAAAGCAGTGGATAGGAAGCTAGGAAACCAGGATGCTCTTCTACTGACTCTCTCTGATGTTGGGGAGGTCTTCAAGGGCCAATTTTCAGAGGTCAAAGAGAGCTCAGTCCCTCTAAAAACCAGACTCTTGATCTCTCTGTGCCTCAGTTTCTGCATCTATAAAATAGGGCTATTAATACTTCCTTCCTTACCTTTGTAAACTTCTTCATGACTATAGTGTTCCAAGTACCAAGAGTTATTCATAGTAATAAACAGCCACATTTCAATCAGAGGTGGTAGCAGCTGAGTGGTGGGTAAAGCAAATCCTGTTGTATGGCTCCGTTTATGCTAATTCACACCATTGTAAAATTGACATCCGTGGAACCACTCCAGGGTAACCAGGCTCTGACCCCAGCCCAATAGGGTGGCCATGACGCACAGGACCGGGTCTGTTATAAAAACTACGTATTAAATCTTCCTGCAGCAGTGAAACTCACCCGTCGCCAGAGGCAAGGCCTGCCCTGGATTTGAAGATAATCAGACCGTGTGTTTGCACTGGGATAATGTGTGCATTGGGCTAGTGTTTAAAATCAGGGCAGGGGGGCCTTGTAAATAACTCAGCTTTTCCGAAAAAATGCTGCTGACAAATGTTAACTGAAGAGATAAGAGCAATCAATTATATAGAAAAAAAATCAGCCTCTGTGAAGAGAATGAGTTAGATCATCTAGCCACAATTACTCTCCGTATCAGTGCCTGGTTTTAGTCCATTTCTGAGCATCCCCCTCCTATCCCCCCCCCATTGTGTCTTTAAGAGAAAACAGATTTTTCAAAAGAGCTCCACTCTCAATCAGGCACCTAACGAGCAGCCAGATTTTCAAAAGTGCTCAGCCCGCAATGCACAACCAATGTTCTGGGCTCCTCTGGCACTCCGGCCTCATTTAGGCTGGCTGAACGGGAGCAGAGTTCTTTTGGAAAAATCTGCCCCGACTGTGGGTGCGGAGCATTTGAAAATCTGGCCCGGGAACACTTCCCAATTTTAGACCTTGTATATTTTTTTTTATTGAATTTAACTTTTAAGAGGAATTCTGGCTCAGTGGTTAGGGTGCTAGCTTGGGACTAGGAAGACGGGGGTCCAATTCCCTGCTTAGCCACAGATTCCCTGCGTGACCTTGTGCAAGTCACTCCTCCTCTCTGTACCTCAGTTTCCCCATTGGTAAAATAGAGATAATAGTCCTCCTGGGGGGAGGGTTGAAAGGATAAATACACTGAGGTACTTGGTGCTATGGTAATGGGGCTCAGTTAAGCACCATCGAGAGCAGTCATCTCTTGTGAGACTGTGGTTATAAATGGGTGTGACAATGTGTACGAGGCAACGTGAGTTAGGGAGCATGCGGCTGGGGACAGTGGGGTGTGCATATGTGACAGCAGGGTGCTGGGTGTGCATGCGCGAGGACTCAGGATAGCAGGTGTGAGTGTAGCAATGCACAAGACCAGGTGAAAGAAAGCGTGTGGGACTGCATGCCTGTGTGGGAGAACGTGCGAGAGCATGCAGCACTGCCGGTGAGACCAGGTAGGAGTGTGAATGCCAGGGACGATGAGCAGGCAGGAATCATGGTGTGGTAGAAAAGGCAACCCGGGCTTAATTCCCAGTTCTGACATTGAGCTGTTGTGTGATCTTGTGTCAGTCTGGTTCCCCTCCCACCCCGCTCTGTCTTGTCTAGACTGTAAGTGTTTCAAGGTCCAAGCCATCGGTTCTAGTGTGTGTGTGTGTGTGTATGTACAGTGCCTAGCACAGTGTGGCCCTGATCTCAGTGGGGCCTCTCATTTTTTCTCTAATAGAAATAATAACCCTGTGACAGTCACGCTCAGGTGACGCTGCACGTGTGGACATTTGGAAATGCGTGCAGGTGTGAGAATCCACATGAGGCTGGGTGCATATGTGTGAGAATGCATGTGGGGCTGTACACGGATGGGAGCGCGTGTGCGCTGCACATGGATGTGTGCGAAACACGTGCCAACTTTCCCTAGCCTTCCTGTTTTAAAACAGAATCTTTGCCATATTTTCACTCTATAACTCAAACAGGCTTAAGCCCATTCAGTGCATTTCAATGTGGGTTAAAGATATGTGCCTAATTCTCCTCCAGAAATATTCCTGTTAATGGCTTTCAAATGGGGGCCTGTGTGTATGCGCCTTGGCTGCTGGCCCTGTCTCGATCATACAGCAAACTCCCCAGCACTGAGATTTAAACTAACACCAGCTCCTCTCCGATTTCAGCTGCGTTTTTAAAGAAAACAACTCCCCTCGACTGCAGCAGGAAATCACTGTTTGGATTTATGAGGCACCTCTTCCTGACCATCCTCTCTGAAAAAGCCTTTGCTAGATTGACATGGCTGCTCCATTCCCGACTCCTGCTGGGAGAATCTGGACAATGGGAGCTTGGAGAATAAGGTGTAGTCCAGTGGTTCTCAACCAGGGGTACGTGTACCCCTGGGGGTAGGCAGAGGTCTTCCAGGGCGTACATCAACTCATCTAGATATTTGCCTAGTTTTACAACAGGCTACATAAAAAGCACTAGCAAAGTCAGTACAAACTAACATTTCAGACAATGACTTGTTTATCCTGCTCTATGTAACTATACACTGAAATGTAAGTACAATATTTATATTCCAGTTGATTTATTTCAGAATATATATGGTAAAAATGAGAATGTCAGCAATTTCTCAGTAATATTGTGCTGTGACGCTTTTTGTCTGATTTTGCAAGCAATTAGTTTCTAAGTGAGGTGAAACTTGTGGGTACACAAGACAAATCAGACCCCTGAAAGGGGTACAGTCATCTGGAAAGGTTGAGAGCCACTAGTCTAGTCTACTCTAGAAAAGGTTTGCTGGTATAGCTATCCTAGTATCAGCACGGTAGGGTAGGCGATCTCCTAGGGCAGATGCAGGGTCTACCGGCAAAAATGTGTTTTTGCTGGTATTGCTTGTATCAGTTCGCTGAACGAAAGAAGCGATACTGAAAGAAGCACTGAAATTTGCTGGTGTAACTGGGCTTATGCTACTGTTTTTGCTGGTATAAAAATGTCATTAAAAAAAAAATCATACCCTTACAGCACATTGCTCCACTGGCAAAAGTTTCTTGAGTAGACCTGGCCTCAGCACCATTACTTGTTCTGTGTTTGTACAGCTCCTAGCACAATGGACCTGGTCCAGGACTGGGCTCCTAGGTGCTATTGCAATACACATAATGAACAATAATAATATTCCACTCCCTACAGCTATTCTTGCTGGGGTAGGTCAAGACATGGGGAGCTGTGAGCCTGCTTCCAGCCAACTCACCATTGTCATCCCCTCCTGCATGCATGGGATAAGCTGGGTTGCAGGAATTGCTTGTGAGTTTCACCCAGAATAGTCCACTTAGGCCATTCCCTACAGTGACTCCTGCTGGCAGATGGTGGAACAGGCCTAGACCACACACACAGCCGCTCTACAAAACCTAGGCCAAGCGTCAACTCATTTGGTAGCAATTGCTTCTCCCAATTGTTTTACTAACCTCTCCAATGTTGGAAAAAATTCATCTGAACTCCTGCTCCAAGGGCAACCAAAAGCACAGCTCTCATTCCAACGACAACCTCTTTTTAGTGAGAGACAATACACAGGACAAAATCTCGGGAGTCAGATGTCAGTGATACACCTGTATACATGAACTGCATTTGCACTGGTGTACCTGAGACCAGGATCAGGCCCTGGATCTTTTGAGAAGAGCGCCTAAGCATCCAATCCAGATCAGAAAGCCGAGCCAGGAGGGCCAACACCAGCACTGTGTTGATATATTGTCTCATCAGGCCTGGCACGTCCGTATAAATGCAGGGCCTGCATGTTCACTCGTAGGCCTACAGCTGGCCTTCAATCAAGGCCTAGTGACCAGGGGTGGGAAGAAGAATGGTGTTGAATGAAGTCAACATCCAGGGGATGGTTACAGCTCTCTTGGGGGCGTGAGCAGACCTCACGTTGCTTTTCAGCGGTGAGCACCTACAAAGTGTGGAACACCTGTTAGTACGACACTCTATGGAGGCCAACTTACGTATCAGCAAACTGCCATTGAGCAAGGCTGAAAAAAAAGACTTGCCCAGATCCCGCTAAGCTGGTAGGCACCTCCTTAGAGCAATCAGTGCCACAGATGATATCCTCAGCTGGTGTACGTTGGTGTGGCTTGGTCGACGTCAATGGAACTACGCTGATTTACACCCGTTGTGGATCTGGGCCTAGTTTTTTCAAAGCAGTTAGATTGCCATCTCTGTCTGTCTTATGCCATTATTGAATGGAGTCTTTTTTTGGTTTGTTTGTTACATTTCAGAACTATGAGCAAATGATTTGGAGGCTAAAGGTGGAGCAAGGTTTCTATAGTTCTCATTGATTAAGGACACTTTGGAGCGGAATCTGGAGCTGTATAAATCTGCAATGGAGACACAAAGACTTAGGTCAGAAGGGGATCTATAGAGAATGGAAGGAGATTTAAGGGGCTACTGTAGTGAATGGGAAATTCTCTCCATTGACTTCACTGGATCAATCACCAGAGATCAATGTACAAGTAGAATGGGCTTGCTGGTGGTGGAAGACTCTAACTGAG